ATAAGTCTCACAAATACAAGATGAAAACAAAGAGAATTTAATAACATGAATGTAAAAATCAAAGGAAAATAAAGAGAAAATGTGAATCAAACCCTAGGTTGGGTCCTTAGCTGTCATCCAAGGCTGACCTAAGCTCTACAAGTGTTCCCAAAATGGCAAAAATCTAAGAGTGTAAATCTCTCTCTAACCCTAATTTCCAAAAATCCATTGATAATGAAGTGGTCATCGTCGATAGTAGCTACTATGAAAACGATAGTAGCTACACGCAGCCTCCTGGTCCTGTCATTCTTCTCTGGAGTTGTCACTATGGCAAGTGATAATGGCTACGCGTAGTGCTATATCAGTTTGGCCCTTGCTGTAGTTGTCACTATGGGGTCTGAACGTAGCTAGGCCTATTGCAATATGGAGTTTCTGTAGTGTCCAGTATCACTTCTGAAAGTTATCACTTTTAATTCAAATTTTCTCAAAGGCTAAAAATACATGGAATAAGTCTAGAAATTCTTGTACAATTATTCAAATGATCAAAATTGCAAATTATATCTATGTAAATCAATGTAAATTATCCAAAAATTAAGAAACCTATGATAATTGACCTAAATTGAATTTTCATCTTATTTGCACTTTCTAAGTTTGCTTTTTCTATTAAAGAACACTAAAAAAACTAGTAAAAATTCAATAAAATATGTATTCATCATTATCTATCAAAATATGAGAAATTAAAATGTAGTACTAGGTTATCTTAACCTTGGTCGTCCTCTTAGAAGTTATTGGTTGATCAAACATATGATGTGCATTATATTTAAAAAACAGGGGTGTTTGACTATGGTTTAAATTCTTTAATCATTCAAAGTAGAAATTTGAAATTAGAAAAATCAATTAGCAAATTAGGTTAATTCTTTTCATCCATAATTGGTTCAATTATTAGTCATTCAAAAATTAAATCCTGATTCCCTCATAGACTTAAATTAATTAGAACAAGTGTCAATTAACTCTTTATTTTATGTAAGATTAAGCAATTTACATGAATTCTAATATTTGGTTCTTGGAATTAAGTAAACCTAGAACCTAATTCATAATTAAGCAAACTGAATCATGACTCTTTTGTTAAGAAGAGAACATGGACTGAATTAAGCAAATAGTTCTTGTTCAAATCCAAACTCAACATTCAAGAAATTAGGGAAAATAAAATCTGTGCAAGAGAAAATTTGTATTAGAATTTATCCCAAACTTCAAGAACCATTGTGAACTATACTAGGAATTAATCCTCAAAATTTAACCTTTCATAAAGATAGAATCCAAAAATACAAAGCAATCAATGTTCAAAAATCAGAAAAACATAGTAAAAAAGGGAAGAGAAATGAAGACCCTAAGTTTGAGTTCTTAAGAACTGCCCCAGAACTCTTACCCTAATCCTCTAAAAATTTACAAAAAATGGTAAAATGGTCCCTCTTATCTAGTTGAGATCTATTTATAGTAACTTTAACACCTTCCTAGCATTGTCACTATAAGTGATGAAAGTGACAATGTAAAGAGCTTCCTGTAGTGCTTCAGGGCTGGAATAGTCACTTTAGGCAGTGATAGTAGCCACACACAGTGTGCATTATCACTATGAGCGGTGAATGTAGCCACGTCCAGCCTTAATTAGCAATATAAGCCTGCACGTTATCACTATGAGTGGTGAAAGTAATAACGCACGTCTTGTTCTCTGAAAGTGTTTATGGAACATTTACTATGGATGTTGATAGTGCCCATGCACAACCAATTTGTGGAATGCCTTTTGGAATACTTACTATGGACACTGATAGTATCAATGCACAACTGAGTTCTCCTTAAAAGGCTCTAGAGTAATTACTTTGTGAGGGAAAAGTGATCATTTTCATCAAGTTCTCCCTCTAATAGCTTAACTTTCATGGATCATTACACAAAATTCTCTACATATTTATTTTAATCAATATATTTATAAAAGAGAATTATAAAAACTATATAATTTAAACTATTTTAAAGAAGCTAAATTTAATTATAGAATTGACATTTTTATGATATTCACACTTTCTAACTTCATTTTTATTAACAAAATATAAATTCATCAATACTCTCTCTAAATTTCATGTCCAAGAATATTTCTACAGAAAAAAAAAAATTAAATCATCAAATCATTGATTCTATTTGCTTCATGTTTCTTTCTTCTTATCTAAGAAAAACAATAGATGAAACTGATCTTATTGGCCTTTTATGTCATCAATCAACCTCCTTCGTCATTGGTTATGCATGTTTTGTTATTCTTCAATCTCATGAATATACTATGTTTGAGCCATATACGTCTCTATTGCTCGAGTTATGGACTAAACATCAACGTTATTGGTTGCTAGGATCTTATCTCTCAACGCATTCAAATCTCTCGTCATGTTATTTTTCTAGGATGAGGCTATGTTTCACTCTTTCTCCCACTTCAAATCCATTCCTTCCACCTTTACTCTCTTGTTTATTAATCATGTTCTTGATCCTTTTCCAAATAATTTTGCCTTTGATGTAGCTTTTCATAAAATAATTTATATGCAGATCTGAAAAGTGAGTTTTCCAAAGTTATAACCCATTCCGATGCCTGTAACCCACTTATTGATCTTGTGGATGACACTTCCATTCACTTCTCATGGGCAAGACATCTCTAACATATCTTTATCATTATTATTGGTTTTTCACTATGCTTCATATCTCTTCTGGTGACCCCAACTAGCAACAAACTAAGAAGAAATACAGGCTTTGAAGACTTTTAAGGACTTGGATTTGGTTGAACTTCCTCTTAGCAAGATTTTTGTTGGGTAAAAGTGGGTATACAAAATTAAAACTCGTTCGGAAAGAACATATGATAGTTACAAGGCTTGACTATTGGCTAAACAATTTACACAAAAATATAGCATTTATTATACAGAAAACTTAGCATTTATAACTCGTCTCACCTCTATTCACACACTTCTAGCTATTAATTACAATTGCAAATAGCATCTTAATCAAATGGATGTCAAAAATAACTTTCTCAATAGTTATTTTGACAAATGGTTATTGTTTCCGTTTGGTTTATGTGGAAATTCATCTTATACTCCACTAAGTTCAATACTAAGTAAAAATTATAACAATAGATATGACAACTGCTCACTTTTCTTGCATCTAAAGAATTTACTGGCAGAATATAAGCGACCGCACTTTCAATTCCAGTGTGTTATGAAATTTGCATTGAACTCCACTAGATTCGACACTATATATGAGAAATGTTAATAACACATTTTTTAATAAATTTTTTTTAACCCAATTTATTATTATTTCTTAAAAATTTATTAAATTAAGAGTATTAATTTGAGAGTGAGGTCCAGCTCATTTAGTAGTCTCAATATGAATTTTAATGAATACTAAAAAGTATATTGATAGTGTTTTTTTATTATTATTCTTTAATGTAAGACGAGTATTAACTAATATTTTAAAACTATTGTTTAAAAAATTAAAAGTGGTTTTTTTTTCTTCTAGAAGTACTATTAATGCACTTCTCTTCATAATTTTTAATTCAGTCTAATGTAATTTTTAGTACCGATTTTTTACTTTCTATTCGTTAGGGCACATGTTTGTAAATATATTTTTTCCAATATGTATTTAAAATCAATACAATTAAAAATGTATGAATAATAAAATTTTATTAAAAATTATAATATTTAATATTATTAATATATTAAATTATAATATTTAATGTATTTAAACTGAATCTATACCATCACCTATTTTAGTTAAAATGCTGCAGGGTTTTGGATACTCGAGTAATTTCATTTTTGTTTTGGTCAAGTTGTAATTTCATATTTTTAATTGATTTGTATTGCATCTTTAGTAGGCCCTTGAGCATGGTGAATCCACGTGATCAATAAACTATTGTACCTAATTGTTAGCATAAATTGCGAATTTATGTCAAGCCGTTTCATTTCTGAAGCTTGAGTCCTTTTGGGTCCATTGCAACGCACTACATGTTTGTGTTGACTTTGGTGAGGAAACTCTTTCTTGCCTCAAAAAATAATTTTTTAAAGAATAATCATTGTATAATTTAAAAATAAATTATTTTTTCTTCTAATTTTATTCAATAAATAATTATTATCTGAAAACTTATTCTTTTATTTTTTTCCTACATTTATTACATAAATAAATTTAAAATAAGTATAATAAAAAATTATAATACTTTTAATAAAAATAAAATAATTAAATAAATTTTTCGTTTTTTTCGCCACAACATGGATTATTTTTTAAAACCAAATAAATTATTATATTACTATTATTCAACTAATTTTTTTTTGGAGGTAGGTGGCATCATGCGACAAATCTATGTGGCTCTATTAATAGGAGTGTTGGGTGACTCATCTATGCTATGATCACCACCTGTCTCCATCAAAATTACACTGAAAGTCCTGATCCAACGTCACTTTACATGCGATTTGACATTTCAAAATCCCTCACTAAATTCAGTTCAAATCAATATTTGGATGGCTAAAATAAGTTATTAATCTTTAAAAGTATAATATTTAATTTTAGTAAAAAATATAAAACACGTGGGATTGAGGTGGTGCACACTCGGTACTTTTGGTGAAAGTAACAATGTTTCTTGATCGTTCAATGGCTTCAGGGGAGATTATGTGAGTAATAGAATATCCATACTTGTGTGTGTCATGGAACTTTTCCCTTTGTCGTTTAGCATCCCTAGTCTAACCACGGTCCAATATTTGACTCCAAATCAATTCCATAATCTAATTACTTATTGAAGTCTATTTATAATTTAGTTCTCATAAATTTAAATTTATATCAATCTAAATCTTGATTTCCTGATACGAGTACTCCAAAATCAATTTTCTACATGGTATTTTGTCTTTGACATCATGCTAGAATCATACTGAATTATACTAAAATCAAACAAATTGAAGTGGATAAAACATTGAGTTGATTAGCATGGAGGTTTCACCCTGTGACCAAGTAAATCTATTTCTTTCCAAGTCTTGGTCATCAAATGTGACCATAACTCAGCTTAATTTCTTTGTCCGCAAGTACAATAGAGAATAGTAAGAGAAAGGGGAAGCATATCAATAATCAAATTATAATGCATCTGACAAATAAACAAAATAATCTTAATAGGTCTAAGTAACTACTCCAAACTCAGCATTTTGGCAAACACACTAAAACATCTTTTGCTGTATTTTTCTAAGTTGTCTTGGCTTTTGGGGTCTTCTTCCTGAGTTGTCTCCTGGGAATTGAGTTCTTCATTCCAATAAAGAATAGCAATGCTCCAAAAAGTGCTGTGTTCTGCCATATAAAGTAACCATAATATATATTAAGTTCTCACACAAATGAAACCATCAAATAGAAATCAAGTATAAGAAGTTTGCACAAACCAGCATGAATTCATTCAGCAACAGATTATATTTAGGCTTGCCGGGTCTATAGTTATAGAAATCGTATAGAAGTGGAGTAGTAAGAGCCAGATGTAGCAGCTACAAAAGAGAAAAAAATTTAAATATGGATTTATAACTCTTTGAAACAACAAAAATGACCAGAGATCTAACAATAAGCTTGAGAATAAGAACAGGAACTTCTTCACATTACAAACTAAATGCGTGTTTGGTAACACATTCAGTATAGAATCCAATCCGCATTCATGCTATAAACAGGAATCCAATGTCTGTAATGTGGTTCCAAACACGCCATAGGAGACCAAGCCCTTACCAGTAGAAAAGACCCAAGTGTGCTGCCAAACACAAACAAAATCCCTCCAACTCCCTTTAGAAATATGATAGTACCAATGAATTGCCGGGCCTGTATTTAGTATCTCAATGAGAAAGGAAGCTACAAGTAAAAAAGAAGTTCTTCAGCTTTTTGGATGGAGAAAGAGAAAAACTGGCCTTACATCAATATCTGGAAGTCCTACCCCCAATTTAGAGGACAAATTTTTCTTCACAACAATGAGCTTGGGAATCAACTCCTTTGAAACAGGTCCTCCATTGGCATCAAATTCATTAAACCTTGCAATAAAAATGTTATATCAATACCAAAGTACAAAAACTGCTCTAATAGAATCATTTCACTATAACAGCTTCATACATAAGCAATTCTGTCACACAAAATAGTACATCAGCTAACCAAAAGCATTACATTGTAGAGGATTTGTAATTTATATATAAGAAATTCTATATACAAAGCATTACATCAGCAAACCAAAATTACTTAAGGTGCCAAGTACTTGATAGGTAATTTTTTTAAAAAACAAGGTATGACATGCAGGTCAAACATTTTAATGAATCATAACCTGATGATGCACCAGAAATGAGGTTTTGGTTTCTAAAGGAAACAATGATACTGGTAACTGAATGTTCATTTTAGCTCAGCTTCAGAGTAAACGGAATTCATTTGGTTCTCACTACTTGATTTATTCATAACCTAAACCAAATGTTTATTGAATATCGACACATAAAATTGGCTCCACAAATAGATCTATCAGTTTGTTGTGTGTGCCTTATTTGATACCAAAGTCTGAGTACTTACAACAAATTTTCAAAACCCTCGATGAATCGAACAAAGTAACTTTAAAGGAAAAGCATTAAAACCATATTATATATGTGCAATTCAAGATTTCAGACACTTAAAATTCAACATGATATGATACTAAAAGACAATTAAAATCTACAATCATCATATCATATACATTCTAGAACATGACTAATCCTACTCATGAGCAAAATCCAATAAATCATCTATGGCTTCCATATAATGTTTTGTTGGATTAAACTCATCAGCAGATGCATTAAACAATTTATTGAAAGCTGTATCCAAACAAGAAAAATCCAATTTTTACATCGAATCCGTGAAACCAAAGCGAGAGAATGAAAACCCAGATCAGAAAATGGAAAACAAAGTGGAAAGTGAGGTGCTTTGTATGAATCTGAAAGAAGTTGATAGATCGAAATAGAGGACTTACATCTGCCATGCGGAGAGGATGAAGAGAGAAGCAAAGAGAACACGACCCAGAAAGGAGAAGAACCCCATTTTTCTCGCTTTGGCAGACGAAAAGAGGGAAGCTCGCAGAGAGAATAACGGGGGAGACCCAGAGAGAGAAAGAGAGAGAAAAGCAAGGAACGCGAAGTGTAATTTAATATTGATTTTAGAGAGTGTGTGACCAGAGCAAGGTGGTCAGTTTGGTTAAGCTAAATTTGAAATGGGATTATGAAAATAAGATTTGGAATTGGAATATTTAAAGTAAGTTGAGGATGTCACGCAAATGATGTTAAAGAGGTAAGCAAAATCTTATGCTTCCCCACTTTCATTTCAATTTACTATTCTACATGCCACCTACCTCCACCTTGCCTTCCACTCTCTCTCTCTCACACACACACATCCTCTTTCGTAATAACGAATTAAACATGAAAAGTGAAAGTTAAGTTTAATCAAATATATATTTTGAAGACTTTTATTCTGAAATTAACAATTAAAAAGTTTTATTAGATAAATCATATTCATAAAATTTAAATTGATTTAAAGTTATTTAATATTCTATTCATATATTTATATATACTTTTAAAATATATAACAATAAATTTTTAAATTTTTTATATTATTAAATAGATTTTATGGTCAATTATGGTATATTCTTATTTAATACAAATTATGTGTTTCTTTTCAACATGACTATTTCATGTTAGTTAATAACATAAGGATCAAATTATATAAACTAGCATTGAGACTCTGCATTACACTTGAATTAATATTTAATGTATGACTTTGTCTGTACGTTATTTTACGGGACAAATAAGTTTTTAAAATGAATTAATGAAATTTTATTTATAAAATATTAATATATATTTAATATAATATTTTAATCTTATTAATCTACTTAAGATAGCATTGTGTATCTCGTAAAATAATTTAAATTTCAAAGAACATGAAGAGGTAAAAAAAAATGGGCATCCACTTGTAGTAATTCATAACAATATATTTTTTTTCATTAATTTTTATCCTCATCGTTACCTTTACTATTTTTATTTTTAGTAAATCATTTTAATCGGGTTAAAATAGTAAATTTATATCCATCTCTTAAGTTCAAACGGAAAAAGTAAAAAAATCTAGTCACATTTCCCTACACTTTTTTACCAAACTTATTTATTATTTTGGATTGAAATATGAATATATATTAATTTTCTTTATCATTTTAACCATTGCTAGGATTAGTCTTCATAAAATTTACCAACAGTGATTATATTTGATCCCTGCTTCCGAGATTTTCCAATAAAGCACAGGAGCTTGAAATACGATTGAATTGTAAAATATGTTTCATGTGAATATGACGATTAAAAATGATCAATTATTAAATAAAAAGATACATGCTTTAATTTTGAATAAAGAAAGAAATGACATTAGTTGATTATATATATAATTTGATTCTGAATAAAATTTGCATTATAGTCATCATGAATTGAGTTTACTTGTGTGTGATTTTTCTATATTGTGTTTTGGAATCTTGGTTAAGATTAAGAACAAGGATTCAAAATCAGGCTGCGATGAAAAGGGAGAGTAACATGTCTTAACATGGATTGCAACAGCATGGTGAACATGTTTTTCAAAATAATATCTATTAGAACAAAGTTTATTAAAAAAATTAATTTTTTAAAACAATATTATGATATTTAAAAGTAAAAATGAGTTTGAAAGTTATTTATGTGTACAAAAGTATTGATATTTTACAACATTTATTTGAATAACAGTTTTTTTTTTTTTGCTAATTGAATATTAGTTGTTTTGAATTGATGCTGTAAATTTATTATAATTTTAAAAATTTATTTAATTGCAAAACAATATTTTTTACTTTTCTTTCAACTAAATAATAAAAATATTTATTAAAAATTATTTATATTTAATGAGTTCGGTCCCAGCTCCTAACATCTCTAGGTGTAATGAAAAATTCATAGTCATATAATTTTATATAAAAATTATGAAATTAATTTATTAATTTGAAATTTATAAGATTTAAAAAAAATTATTTTGAGATTATTTTTGTTTTCTTAAAAATAAAATTATATCTTTTAGGATACAAATCTGGTGATACATGTTACTCTACAATAAATAATACATAAGATAAATGAAGATTACATATTCATATTATAAATTATTGCAAAAGAGTATATTAATTGAATATATAGTTTAATCCAAAATTTGATATTAAAGAAATTTAAGACATTCTATCTTATACATAAAATTTTTGTAACTTATTTTATAATTGAATGTAATATAAATCACATATCGGTATTGCAACATATTATATGATAAAATAAAAAATAAATTTAAGTAATTAGATATTTAGTTATTTAATTTATTAAAGCTAGAAATATGATTTACTTTATTATAAATATAAAATTAATTTTATTTAATAAAAGAAAAAATTTAAAGAAAAAATTATATTTAGATTACTTAGTAAAAATAATTATTTAATTAAAAAAATTATAATATAATTTAACATAACATTGATGCACAAAGATATTTTTACAATTTATAATATATAAAGATAGAAATACTACACATTAACGTTACAAATTATTATAGTTAATTTAATTAATAAATTAATTGCTTAATTATTTATTAATTGGAAAAAAAATATTAAAAAAAGACATTTAGATTGATAAAAAATAATTGTCTAATTAATTTAAGCTAAATTATAAAATTAAATTGAATATATTTGAAAGAGTGTAGTTTAAAAGGTAAATTATTTAATTGATTTAAAATAAAACATTATTTAACTTAAAAAATTTATATCGCATGTGACCAATAATAACATAAATACACAATAGATTCAATGATTTTCAACATATTGTATAGACACTGTTAGCATTATAGATCGTTATGATGATGAAGTGAATTAATTTTAATTTAATTAATAAATAAATTATATTGGATAGTAAAATATAAAAATATTTAAAATAATATATTTTAATTCATTAATAAAATGAAATACAAAAATATATACTTTAATTGATTAATAAAATATATAATTAAGTAAAAATAAATCTTGATTCACTTTTAAAATGATTTTTATATTATAAATAAAAAAGAAAAATAGACTAAAAAAATGTAGTCCTTCCTTTAATGATTTATTAATTGGAAAGAAAAATATTAAAAAAAAGGACATTTAGATTGATTAATAAAATAATTGTCTAATTAATTTAAACTAAACTATAAATTTTTGCATTTTAATAAGAATTTTTTTAACTTAATTAATAAATTAATTATTTAATAATTAAATTGAATATATTTAAAAGAGTGTAGTTTAAAAGGTGAATTATTTAATTGATTTAAAATAAAACATTATTTAACTTAAAAAATTTATATCGCATGTTGACCAATGGTAACATAAATACATAATAGATTTAATGTTTTACAACATATAAAAGTATAGACACTGTATGTTAGCATTATAGATCATTTTGCTGATGAAGTGAATTAATGTTATTTTAATCAATAAATAAATTAGATTGGATAGTAAAATATAAAAATATTTAAAATAATATATTTTAATTCATTAATAAAATAAAATAAATATATATATACTTTAATTGATTAATAAAATATATAATTAAGTAGAAATAAATCTTGATGCACTTTTAAAATAATTTTTTATATTATAAATAAAAAGAAAAATGGACTAAAAAAATGCAGTCCTTCTTTTTTTTTATTTTTATTGTTAGACTATAATAATGTTAGTCAAAGATTTGAGACATCTTATTTTTGTTTAGACCAAATTCTGTTTTTTTTTTTTTTTGGTACTAGACAGCATAAACAATAGGCTAACATTTTTTTTGTTTGATTATGATTCTTTCTCCTTTATTTCTGGATTTGGATTTTCTAAGCCCAATTTTTTTTTCAAATTTTTATTTCAAGACTTCTTGACTCAACCTTTTTAAAAAATTATTAAATAACTAAATTAAATAAAATAGGAAATAAACAACTCTATGTTTCTCCACCCCTAAAACACATATTGGGGATTTAAAAAAAAAGGTTCTTTAAATTCTTTGGAGGTGAAGAAGAAAGAAGGGCAATAATACGTTGGTTGGCGAATAAGAGAAAGAGAGAAATGAGGATTCTTTTTTAGGGAAGTAGATAAATGAGAGGTAATGATGGTGAGGGGAAATGAGAGGGTTGAAATTGTAAGATTTTCTCAATGTCATGGTTTGAAGGTTTTGAACATAATACAATCAACGATATGGAGGGGAATGTGTCAAGCCTGTGTTATGTATATGCTTATTTACTTTTAAACTTGATGTTGTAATCATTTAACTACAGTGTCTTTGTACTTTAAATGTGATGTTATATGTTAATTATGGTATGAAATGACTTAAATCATATGTGTATAAGCTGTATAGTTGCTAAGTAAAAAGTTGGTACATGTTGTGTGAGTTTTGAATAGTTGGTTGATGTCAAACTGCAGGATATCTTGTTGTAACGAGAATGGGTCGTCCAAAACAAAGTTTGCTGAAGCTCTCTCGCTACAATGTCTTTCTCCCTTGATTTCTCTTCTCAAGGGTCTTTATTTCATGGTAATAAGGAGATTTGAGGACCTTGAGCTTTATTCTCTCTTTAGAACTCACGAAAGCTTTAATCTAAGGAATCTTGTTCTAGATAAAGGAGTTTACTTGAGTTGGCCTTGTTCATTCACTAGATGTTAAAATATTTATATGTATAATTTCGCTCACTACTCCAAAAATGAGCTTTTGGAGCGCAAACTTGGATAGCGGTTAGTAAAAATCACCTTGTATAAGACACTAAGAGAATGGTTAGCGCTCAATTGCTTTTCAATCTAACCTTATAAGAGCAATTCATGTGGAACTGCTCTCTAATGTACCCTTTTGAGAGCGATTCTAAACGAACCGCTTTCTAATATATACTTATAAGAGCGGTTCATTTGGAATCGCTTTCTAAGTTAACTTGGAGAGTGGTTGTTAGATAACCGCTCTCAGAAGATGTATATTTTAGAGAGCGGTTGACACATAGAACCACTCTAAGAAGTGTAGTCTTAACCGCTCTCTAAAGTTGATTTTCAAAATCAACCTTAACCCTCAAATCTGGTCATCCCTGTCCTTGTGCCCACTTTATATCTCCAAAATTTTATGTGTTCGATGTGTTCTCAGAGGTATTTACACCACAGAAAAAGCA